AGTGGGGGAGGGGGCAGTAGCCAGTGCGTTTTGATGTGTGCTCCACAGCTTTGAAGCAGCTCATTAGGAATCCACGCTGAGGTGCTGAGATGCAGCGGTTCTCTAGCCTGCCTGCACACCTGTGTGCGTGTGTGTGCGTGTGTGTGTGTGTGTGTGTGTGAAGGCTGCATTGGCAGTCTGACTCAAGACTTCTTGCTTAGAGAAATGAACAGATACGTGCTTACCTATAAATCCAGCAGATGCACGGCTCCTGCTGGGGCCCTTCATGGACCACAGTTTTAGTTATTCTTTTTATTTTATTATTTTTTTTTTAATGTTTATTTATTTTTGAGACAGAGAGAGACAGAGCATGAATGGGAGAGAGAGAGGGAAACACAGAATCTGAAGCAGGCTCCAGGCTCTGAGCTGTCAGCACAGAGCCCGACGCGGGGCTCGAACCCACGGACCGTGAGATCATGACCTGAGCCGACGTCGGACGCTTAACCAACTGAGCCACCCAGGCGCCCCTTAGTTATTCTTGATAGAGCAGGAGGATCCCTGGTGGGAGCCCTGGGTGCCAGCTCTGATGTTGTTGCCAACTTTGGGGTGGTCCTATGAGGCAAATATCCTCCTTCCTTTAAAAAGATACTTTCATTTTTCTCCTTATACAAGTAGTACATGTATGTTATAGAAAATATACAGAAACGAAAGGAGAAAATAAAAATCAGTTGTACTCCTGCCACCCGCCCAGAGGGAACATCATTACCATGTCCATGTTTCGCTCCACAAGGTACTTTTTTGCACATACCTGAGTGATGTCTCCCGCAAAGATAGGTTCAGACACTTTACTTGTGACTTGCTTTTTGCACTTAGTGGTACGCTGTAGTCCTCTCCATGTGCCATTGAATGTTCTTCCTCTGATATATTTTTTTAAATGTTTATTTATTAATTTTGAGAAAGGGCAAGTATCAGTGGGGGAGGGACAGAAAAGGGAGAGAGAGAGAGAATCCCTAGCAGGCGCAGAAGTGGACGTGGGGCTTGATCTCACGAACCGTGAGATCCTGACCTGAACCAAAATCCAGAGTCCAGCGCTCAGCTGACTGAGCTACCCAGGCTCCCCCTTTCCTATCATATTTTTAACGACCTCAGTGATAGTCCATTGTCTAGACATCTTCATTTATGTAATCAGTCTCCTATTTCTGGACATGGAGGTTTTGGCTTGTGTTTTTACGCTGCTGGACAGCACTACAGTGAACCCCCGAACCAAGATCTAGCGTTCTTGGTTTGCCACTTGAGTAGTTTCCACGTTTTACCCTGCAGGAATCTCTTCTTTGTCTCCAGTTTGAGATTTTGTGTTTTATAGAAGCCATACAAAGGTCACAAGGGAGCGTCATGGGATGACGGAAAAGTTCTATATTTTGATTGTGATGGTGGCCACACATATGAATATATACACTTGTCAAAATTTAGCACATGTATACTAAAAATGAGGGCGTTGGATTGTATGTAAATCATACTTTCATAAAATTGATTTACAAAAAAAGAAATGCTAATGTGAATGGTAGAATTTTTAAAATCTTTCCCCTCACCAGTACAAAGGAAGGGGGCAGTTGAGTTTTTAACTGGGAATACAGGGTGTTTATAATATAATAAATTTAAAAAATATCACGTGTACCTGTTGAAACCAAGGACTCCTTTTCAAAACAGATGCTACTTAGAATTCTCTCCTTTTTTAAGTCACAAGTGACTATACCTGGGAACTCTCCTCATATTCAACTCAGTCCAGTAAGGAGAAAAAACAGTTGTAAAGATGGAAGTCAATCATGGAAAATTTCCTGCTGCCCTTCTCATTGAGGTCAAATATACGGTACTGTCAGCAGACTCTCCCCATTCTGCCTTTTACAAGCAGAGGAGAATGGCTAATTGCTGTGTTGTGCATATTTTAAGACTACGTGATCTATCCATGGTGGCTGAAGTTACCTGTTTGCCTGTGGTGTGCAAGACAGAGGAGAGTCAAGTCTCATCCTAGGGTTTAGCTCCAGCTTTACTGTCGTACAAGTTTGTTTCCAGTCTTCTACTTCTGGCCCTTAGACAGCTTGGGTGCCTGGATATCAGTGGCTAATTTTTCTGAGGTGCTTGTAAAATTGGCTTATTGGCAAGAATTTATCTTCAGGATATCCATCCCTTATTTACTTCATCCTTGAACTAATGTCCTGGAAGCAACAAATGGTGCCACTTATTACAGGGTCCTTGGGGCAGATGCTTGAAGGAATGTAGAATTGATGAACAGAGGGGTGTGGCTGAGCCAGTATTGTGGCCTCTTTGGGGATCAGCTTCCAGATCCACATGCCTACTTGATTATAGTTTGGGCTTCTCAGATCAGCCCAGCCTTGACCTATTTTTCTCCCCTTTTAAAGATAAAGATATGTTGTGAGCACATGGTTAGGTCATCCTTCAACGTGAGGCCATGTTTTACAGCATCGTTGATTTGAATAACGTGCTGTGTCACATTTTTGTTGAGTACTCTAGACAGTCATTTAAACTCTTCATTTTTATTTCCTCCGGAAAAGAAAGAAGTCGTATTCATTCTGATGTTGGTTTTACTAGAAAAGGAAACACACGATCACTCGGGGTCCATCAGCCCATTAGCTCTTAAAAAACATAGGATTCTGTTTTCTTAGAGTTCTTTGTTTGGTTGTTACTTTTTGTGTCTTTCATATGAAACCAAATGGAGCAAACCATGTTTTTCCTTTAATACATTTCTTTTATATACATGTGTTTTTTCTTTGTCACTTTAGTTTTTAATTAGCGGCCAATAAAGTAGGGCCTCCCGGGGCGCCTGGGCAGCTCAGTCGGTTGAGCATCTGACTTTGGCTCAGGTCATGATCTCGAGGTCTGTGAGTTCAGGCCCCGCATCGGGCTTCGTGCTGACAGCTCAGAGCCTGGAGCCTCCTTCAGATTCTGTGTCTCCTTCTCTCTCTGCCCCCACTCCCCACCACTCTCTGGCTGTCTCTCTCTGTCTCTCTCTCTCTCAAAAATAAACATTAAAAAAAATAAAAGTAAAATAAAGTAGGGCCTCCCCGCGATCAACATCTTCCTGTGTCTGTGTCTCCCTGCTGTATTACTAGTTTTCACAAGCGCGCTGCTATATGGGTGTTTCTCATCTCTGAGGAGCATGGTTTTGTTTGCTTTCAGGCTGTGACAATGCCATCATCATCTGGAATGTGGGGACGGGGGAAGCCCTCATAAACCTGGACGATATGCACTCGGACATGATTTACAATGTAAGCTGGAACCGGAACGGCAGTCTGATCTGCACAGCTTCCAAAGACAAGAAAGTGAGAGTGATCGATCCTAGGAAGCAAGAGATTGTTGCCGTGAGTATGCGAAGGGCAGAGCCGCCCGTGTTTGTCACACTTGGGCGAGGGCGAGCTTTGCTTGTTAAGGCAGGCGGCAGAGGCCTCGCGCCCGCTCCGTGGAGCCTAACTGCAGACCCCGGACCGTGAATCTGCACAGGCTTCTGCAGGCTTCTTCCTCCCGGTCACACTTCAGAGTTGTGTATCCCACAATTTACACAAGCTGTCCCTCTCTCTTGGTGACCATTTTCCACAAAGAAACAAAGTTTTTATCGGTTCACTAGAATCCTTAAGAATTTACCAGTGTAGATCAGCTAACCCAGATAGTTCACTGCGTTTCTGGCTTAGCACTGAGTATTGATTGCTTCATTGATCCCCGCCCCTTCCTGCAACCATTGTCAGACCACGTTACAGAGACGCCACGGGTATCTTATCAGCTCGGTGTCTTAGTTTCTTCCACCCAGACTAGGCCTCAACAGGTCACCTGTCATGACAGAAGACTTTGGGACTTGAGCTGGGGTTGAAGCTGTAGGTGCTGGACCCCAGAATGTCCTGCGTCTCCCCTTCTCTGGGATGTGCTGGTCCTTTGGCAGTATTACTTCTTAAGTTGGGTGACAGCCACAGCTCGTGCTTGTCGAGCACTGGGGACTTGCCTGGCCCTGTGCAAAGTGCTTTCTCCACTAGAACCTTTCAGGGCTCACTACGAGTGCACTCTCAAGGAACAAATGAATAAAGGAAGGGGTTCGCTGAACTAGACTTCGCTGTGTCCTGCGAAATTGGTGGAAACCATAGGGTATACCCAATCTTCAGGTTATCCCCTGGAGAAACAGACATCTCTTAGAGTCCTTTCATGTGTTTTATTTTTGCAGCGTGGACTTGGGTTGGCAGCAGGGCATGGTGGAAAGAGTGAGGCTTTTGAGTCAACTCCTGGCAGTCTGCTTGCTCACTAGCTGAGGGACCTTGGCCAACTTACATAGTGTCTCTTTGTTTCCTCATTTTGGGAGGAGCAGTGGTTAATTCTCTCTCTCTCTCTCACACACACACACACACACACACACACACACACACACACCTGGCAATCAGGATGAATGGCATGGCGGCATGGGTTGGATTCCGCGTATAAGCCCCCACTCCGCCTTTCTTTCTCGCAGTTTGAATATAATGTGCCTCTTGCTCTTTGCCTCCCAGGAGAAGGAGAAAGCGCACGAAGGAGCAAGACCCATGAGAGCCATCTTTCTGGCTGACGGGAATGTCTTCACCACTGGTTTCAGCCGCATGAGTGAGCGGCAGCTGGCTCTCTGGAATCCGGTATGCCCCTTCCCAGCCTTCCCACTGGCTTATTACCCTGAGCTTTCTCTTTCTGAGCAGGTCTTTGGAGGGGGGTAAGTAGATTATAGGATTCTTAGTGTAGTTTTCTGAACTCTTGTCTGTCTGAAATTGGATGTGACATGCTCATCCTCACTAGAGACTTCTTGCTAAACGTATTACTAAAATGCATCCTTGACACTCCAGAGTAGTCTGTGTTGGCTGTATTTTTTACAAAGAATGCACGAAGAAACGGTGTTTTGGACTTGGGAACCAAGTTCTGAGCTTTATTTTATAAAGAATATGACCGAATGTTGAAATCAGAACAGTCATGCTTAGGAAAACATTAATAGCATAAGTGAAAAATAAACTGTATATGTGGTACAATCTCAGTGTGCGCGCGCGCGCGTGTGTGTGTGTGTGTGTAAGGAAGCAGACCAAAATGGCAATTGTTTCTGCCACCCACTGGATTGTGGGATTGTGGGATTGTGGAATATGGGATGATTATTACAGTGTTTCTGTAACTTTAAAGAGCACGTATTTATGTTAAGAAAAAAAATGTTAAAACATTTTTCATGTTTATTTTTGAGAGAAAGTGTGAGTGGGGGAGGGGCAGAAAGAGAGACAGACAGACAGACAGACAGAATCCGAAGCAGGCCTCCAAGCTCTGAGCTGTCAGCATAGAGCCCGATGCGGGGCTTGAACCCACAAACCACGAGATCATGACCTGAGCCAAAGTTGGACG